CATTTCTTCAAAGATTTCCTTCCATAAAAAGCGTGCAAACAAATGTTGGCGAAACTTTCAACATTTTGTTAAAGATTCTGCTTCCATAAACATCGGTGTTAAAACGGCCCTAAAACGGCCGTAATGATTGATGTAACGAATTTCATGGAACGGCCACAGCGGCCGTGATTTTGTAAGGGAACACAGCGAAGCAGCAGAGCGGCAAAGAGATACAAGGATGTAACAACAGAACTCACACGCGCGGCGCAAGCGCGTGCTCACGGATTGTACACCATGTAACGAGTCGTTAGCACGTAGCGGTGGAGGTCTAAAAGTGTGTGATCAGTAAGTACGTACAGCTCCCGTTCACGGCACAGTTTCTGGCGCGAGAAAGGGGATTAGTATTCGCTCATGCAGCGATGCACACACACTGACCTCTCTTTGGGGAATCGAACGACTGTACCGAGTGCGATGAGTAGTGAAGATACTCGTACCAGCTGTAGAAGTCGACGTAGCGTCGGAGCAAAGGCCTCATTTTCAAGCTAAGGCAAGGATAGTGGCTTCGTGACAGCTCTTACAGAGGCTCCGCAGAATGCGGCCAACTACCTCTGTGGGGTGTTCTTGCGGGACAATGAATGTCTCGAACGGTATGCATAGCAAGGGGCACCGTGGTTGCACACTCCCAAGTGCCGTTCCGGGATGTTCCGCGTCGCTGGTCGGCGAAGGCAAACGCAGCAGAACGGCCCGCAGCATAGCAGCACCACATCACTCTCATGGTACCTTCCCACCCTTCCCTAACACAGCACAAGTTTTCCCGCAAGAGAGTCATGAGTCGTCGAAGATGGCCGCGGTCGCCGCAGGGGATGGTCTCGAGGCGAATCGTGAACGCCGCGGCTGCCTCAGTGCTCCTCTGCGCTGGAAGCACTACCAGCAGGGTAGACGCTTTCTGTTCAACATCACCACCATCCTCCGCTGCTGCAAGGAGAATCCCCACCGCCAGCAGCAGCAGCACTGCAAAAACCCAGCAGCAGCCGCACCGACTAAGATTGGGTGGTGCCTCTGCGTCTGCATCGCCACTGTGGTCGTCAAGGCTTGAAAGCAACCCTCGGATCAGCAGCAGCAGAAGCTATCGGAGCGCCACTGCCGGTACTGGCATCGGAGCGAGTGCTTTTGTGCTACGGCGGAGCCAAGGCCGAACCGCCACAGCAGCAGCGGCAACACTGGCAGGAAGGCAAGGCCGGAAATCTGCAGTGGATGCACTCGGCATGGCAGCCGACGTGCTGACTACACTGGGGAGAGATGCGCTAATGTTTCTCGCGGCCACAGTCGCAGTTGTTCCTGCCTGCAAGAAACTCAACATCAGGTGACCTGAAGCAGCAACACGTTATCTGTGTCTTCGTGACGTGGGGGTTACGGATTGATGATTCGATTCCGTATGCTACAACAATGGCGGTCGCTTGCGCTGTCCCTTGGTGTTCCGAGCGGAGGCACGCCTGGAAACTTCTACTGCTGTGCGCCGTGGCTTATGTTTTCGTCTTATAGAAGCGATGCATGATTCAAAACACACAAGTCGTGAAAGCATCTAATCGTTGAAGCCGATACTGCTGGTACACACCGCGAATGCAAGTGTAGTCTACAGCAGTTTTCTCCGTACGAATTTACGCTTAGATGCACCCTGTTTTTTAAATCTTGATCCACTTTAGCCCTCTTCCTTTCCCCGCATCCTGACACCTGGCGCTTGTTTGACCATGCTGCGTTTGTTTTGGGCGGTGGCATGCATGCCTGCGAAGCGAGACACGTGCCTTTCCTGGCTGCTGTTGACCCCCTTCTGTCTGTCTCTTGGCCATCGCTTTTGTCGGCTTGATCCGAAGCTATTTTGGCATTTGTGCAAGGAGAGGGGGGATGTTACAACTTACACGTGGTATAGATTTCCGCCCTCTAGTCTACGCGCCGGGCTCGAACTCTCCGCGCAGTATCATACTGACGACTTCACGATACCTTCGCCTCTTTTCTTCTGTGCCGCTCGCCGCAGTCCCGTCCTGGGTTTCCTAGCGACAGGAGCAATCCTAGGCCCCTCCGGAATCAGCGTCATCAAGAACCTGAACGAGCTCGACACGCTAGGAGAGCTCGGCATCAGTTTCTTGCTGTTCGAGCAAGGCCTAGAGCTCAGCCTCGACAGGCTCAAGGCGTTGAGCAAGTACGCGTTCGGGCTGGGCACGGCGCAGGTTCGTTCGTCGTTGCGGCGTGGTTGTGCGCTAGTTGGTGCTGCTGTGTACCAACAGAGCGCATCCTGACGTTCATTCACTCTCGCAAGACGCAAGACACACAGCCACAGCCGCGTTTTAAGAAAAATACGGCTGGTGGTGAGCGGGGTCCAGCAAAGCGCTGGTGGTGCTACTATGGCAGCATTCCCTGAGCATCTGTCGTTTTGCGTAGACCGTAAGACTTGCTTTGATCACAGACAAAGGTGACAAACGTGTGCCTTGTGGTCATGTAAAATGCGATGGTGTACAGGACTGGTTGTCTCTCCCTGGCTGGCTTGTCTCCTTCTCTCTCTCTTTGTGCATGTTTTTTGTTTTCTATTTGTATTTGTACACATGTACACGAGCATTGGCCACGATTCCCCCTGGCAGGGACACCTAGAGTTCCTTTGCGGGCGGAGCCGTAACCCTACTGTACTGCTGTTGCGTGGAGCGGCGGTAACAGAAAGGGTACTCATACAAAACAGTGCGACTGAACAAGCTGCCGTCTGCGTTCGATTAGTTTTTTAATGGTGGCTGAACTGCTTCTGCCCCGCCCCTCCCCCCCTCTCGTTCTTTTTTTGCCCTAAAGGTTTTGCTGTGCACGCTGGCTTTCGCCGCATTTCCGTTTCTGGGAGGAGTCGACGTTCTTGAGGTGAGCCAAGCCAGGTTGAGGTTGGAAGAGAGGGTAAGTAGGAGCGAGCTCCGTGGTCGCGAATATTGTATTCAAGGGGGAGATGGGGTTCGGTAACCGTTTGAATATCCAGAGATGGGGGAGGTTCGAGGTGTTGTTTTTGCTACCCGAGCTCATCTACAAGCGGGGCGGGGGGGGGGGGGACTCAAGTGTTTTGTTTTTTGTGCATAACCCCCCTCGGGTCGGGCTTGCGTCATGAGTCTCGTAACACTAGGGAAGCCAAAGGGTAGTTGCTACGGCGGTGGGCAACGATGCTGAATGGGCTGCCGTACTGCTCGGCCTTTGCTGTGTTCGCGTCGGTGCTCGGCACGGCAAGGGGCCGACGTTTGACGGTTACTCACAGTCTGTTGTTGTTGCTGACGTGCGCAACAAGTGAGTCCCCTGGCCGACCAGTTGTATGTTGGCTTTCTTGCCAAAGGTTTCTGGCTGTTCGGTAGATATGCGTGGGTGGTAAGCTGTATTTGGCACGAAGGTGTAGGTACAACGATTCGAGGCCCTTGTGCAGCTATTGTGGACATACATGCACACCCACCGCGTTTACTCATTTTTCATAACATGCACGAACCATCTGTCGTTGATTTATGTTGGCTTTTGCGAACCTTTCGGGTCCACTTCATTCGAGGATACATTTTTTAGGTTTTGTCAGCCTGTGACCACGGGAATCGACCGTGTCAAGCGCTAGGCTAGTACGGACAGAAGGTACTGGCTAGAGAGATCGGAACGGGTATTAATGTAAAGACAACAACAACAACAACAACAACAACTTGTCGCTCCCGCCCGCCCCGCCGATCGCGGCAGGTGATCTTCCACTCTCCGGCGGAGCTGGTGAGCATCCGTCGAGTGGACGAGGCCGTGGTAATCGGGGCGGCTTTGTCGCTCTCGAGCTCGGCTTTCGTGCTAAAGATCTTACAGGTCAGTGTGAAAAGAATGAACTTGCTGCAGCGAGGGTTTGCTGCAAACCAGCCCCGCGAAAGCGAAAACAAATCCGAACAAAATATAGCAACTGTCCCGGTCGTTCCTCCGCGTTTGTGCGCCCGCGCACAGGCCCAGTTCTCCCCTTTCTGGGCGTCGAAACAAACCACCCCCCACCCCCCCCCCCCCCCCCCCCCCCCCCCCCCCCCCCCCCCCCCCCCCCCCCCCCC